AAAATGTGAGAATATTATATCAATATATACAGTACTTTAGGGTCTGTTGTCATATCCATCTATAGGGCTCAGAATGTTGTGGCAGTGCCCTTGGTGGTGGGAACAGGCTAAATGTTTTTTATAATAATGTGGAACATCAGTTTATTTGGACAATTACAAAAGTGACAATAGTGACATTTGAGAAGAAACAGGCGGATGGTCTGCATCAGGATAATGAGTCTGACAGTGGGTTTATAAAGTCAACCAGTCAAGCAGGCAGGCATCCAGCTCTCTAATTAAGCCATCAGTTTTGTTGACATACTCTAACCCAGTGGCTCATTCAGTCAAATGAGACTGATGGGAAATAAGGCCGCAATTAACGTCGTCAAACTATGGTGACCTTAATTGAAAGAAAAATCATCATAAGTATTTTACCTCCAACCGACTCTCTATGAGTGGCAAGCAAGTTGGTTTTACTTACAGTATATACAGTGGCTTGAAAAAGTATTCATACCCCTTGAACTTTCCCACATTTTCTCACGTTCCGACCACAAACATAAATATATTTTATTGGCATTTTAGATAAAAGATCAACATAAAGCGACACACAATTGTGAAGTAGAAGGAAAATTATACATGACTTTAAATTGTTTTTAGAAATAAAAAACTGAAAAATGTGGCGTGCAAAAGTATTCAGCCCCCTTTTCTCTGAGTGCAACCAGTTGCCTTCAGAGGTTGCCTGATGATTGCTGAATGATCAGCTGTTGACCTACTGATTAAATAGAGTCCACCTGTGTGTAATCTAACCTTAGTATAAATACACCTGTTCTGTGACAGCCTCAGACGTTTGCTAAGAGGACACTGGTCAGTGAACAGCATCATGAAGTCAAAGGAACACACCAAACAGGTCAGGGATAAAGTTGTGGAGAAGTTTAAAGCAGGGTTAGGTTATAAAAAGATTTCCCAAGCTTTGAACATCTCACGAAGCACTGTTCAATCCATCATCAAGAAATGGAAAGAGTATGGCACAACTGCAAACCTACCAAGACATGGCCGTCCACCAAAACTTACATGCAGAACAAGGAGAGCACTGATCAGAGACATAGCCAAGACACCCACGGTAACTCTGGAGGAGCTGCAGAGATCCACAGCTCAGGTGGGGGAGTCTGTCCATAGGACGACAATTAGCCGCGCACTGCACAAATCTGGCTTTTATGGAAGAGTGGCAAGAAGAAAGCCATTGTTGAAAGAAAGCCATAAGAAGTCTCGTTTGCAGTTTGCCAGAAGCCATGTGGGGGACACAGCAAATGTGTGGAAGAAGGTGCTCTGGTCAGATGAGAGGCTAATTGTCGTCCTATGGACAGACTCCCCCACCTGAGCTGTGGATCTCTGCAGCTCCTCCAGAGTTACCGTGGGCGTCTTGGCTATGTCTCTGATCAGTGCTCTCCTTGTTCTGCATGTAAGTTTTGGTGGACGGCCATGTCTTGGTAGGTTTGCAGTTGTGCCATACTCTTTCCATTTCTTGATGATGGATTGAACAGTGCTTCGTGAGATGTTCAAAGCTTGGGAAATCTTTTTATAACCTAACCCTGCTTTAAACTTCTCCACAACTTTATCCCTGACCTGTTTGGTGTGTTCCTTTGACTTCATGATGCTGTTCACTGACCAGTGTCCTCTTAGCAAACGTCTGAGGCTGTCACAGAACAGGTGTATTTATACTAAGGTTAGATTACACACAGGTGGACTCTATTTAATCAGTAGGTCAACAGCTGATCATTCAGCAATCATCAGGCAACCTCTGAAGGCAACTGGTTGCACTCAGAGAAAAGGGGGCTGAATACTTTTGCACGCCACATTTTTCAGTTTTTTATTTCTAAAAACAATTTAAAGTCATGTATAATTTTCCTTCTACTTCACAATTGTGTGTCGCTTTATGTTGATCTTTTATCTAAAATGCCAATAAAATATATTTATGTTTGTGGTCGGAACGTGAGAAAATGTGGGAAAGTTCAAGGGGTATGAATACTTTTTCAAGCCACTGTATTTGGACAATTCTTAGTATATTGAAATTTCTGTAAAATTGTCAATGGTGTAAATATTAAAATGTTTATTGTCTGGATGTCATTCTGTGTAATATAATTGAGAATGACATAATTCGTCATTTACTCAACCAATTTTTTTTTATTTATTTTTTGCACATATAAAAACCATCCTAGAGTTATTTTGGAATTTTATTTAGGTAAAAACAAAGCATGCAGAGGGTGCTACAAATAAATTTTCAAAGCCTTTAAATACATTTCACTTACAAAGTGTTATCACAGACACAGATTGGGCCTGACAGAATGATGGTGGAGGCAGGTGGAGATAGTGCTCTGAATGAACATTTATTTGTGTATTTATTGCGAGGGACAAGGTCAGAGTGTTGTTTTATTTTTGTAGCTCACTGGAGCATTTAGCATTTTTACTGCAGCACAGCAGGACTTTAAAGGATGGGGCAATAAAAGCTGTTGATCATCCAAGACTAGGATAAAGAACATTTTAAATTTGAACTTTTTCATTGTAACATGGTCCAGGCACAATCGTTATAAGATGGCCTGTCAACATTTGTACATCCTGTTGACTGAAGGTGTTTGCTAATAATTTATTTTAACAGCAGGGTATGTGATTTGCCAGCTGGCATGTTGAGAGTGACAACTCACAAAAACTCCTTTGGGTTTTGCTCCTGGGAGAACACAAATCCGGACCTCAATCCCTATCTCTACCCCTACCCTATGCCTTATGTACTGTATACATATACATGTAAACATCCCTAATGCAATCTTTCACAATCTTTTTTTTTTTTTACATTCAGGAAGTTATGCTATCTAAGATTTTCCTCATCATTTTTTGTGGTAATTACATTTTCAATTTTCTTGTCTTTTGTCCTGCAGGTGGCGAGGTGCCCTACACAACTCTGGCGACGAGGATGATGATGGGTGTTTGGTGGATGTTTGCTCTGATCGTCATCTCATCATACACAGCAAACCTTGCAGCATTCCTCACCATCACACGTATAGAGAACTCCATACAGTGAGTAAAATATTCAACCCTTTTTCTACTGTTCGTGAAACTTATGCCTGTTTGTATCACAATCAGTTTTTCAAAAGACATCACCAATGGGAAATAATTACATAAAAAATGGGAAGTGAATTTTTTAGAGCTCATCAGTTTTGGGTTTTATTAAATCACCGTGTCATCTTCTAAAACAAGAGTGTTTAGGTTTTGTTGGTAACTGTGCAGCCACTGCAGTTCAGTTTGCGTCTGAGCCCTATCCTATCAGTGTCTGTGAATTTGAGCATAATGAAGCACTAATAGTTTATGTTCTTTGCTGAAGATGCTGTTCACATTCTTCCCTCAGTGCTCGCTGGCCAGAGTTCACCCCCTCCACTCCCATCCACCTCTGCTCAGCTGTGAAGCCTGTTCTTGTTATTTATGCGATGCGTTATCTAGTGGTCACCTCGTTGGTTTGGTCCACTGTTAGGTAGATAGATTCATTTTGACAACATTCATTTTCTAAATCGAATAATTTTCTGTCGCGTAATTTGTTTCTGTCAATTTGTCTTTCAGTTCTTTTTTTTTCTCTGTCCAACACCAATGCCATTTATTTTTTCTTTGGCTTTCTTTCTTGGCGTATTTTGTGTTAATTGTCTGTTTCTCTTCCATTTATTTACATTCTTTTGTCGTGTCCCTGACTTGAAACAATGAAATAATCAATTATTTCCTTTGGCTCTCTTTTTTTATTTACTCACGTTTCTGTCATCCAAGTCCCTCTCAGTTTGCTGCCTCATTCAGTATGAATTTAGCCAATTTAAGACTTTCTAAAAAAGTGTAATGAATTATTGCTACTGGGTTGACTTTTCTAGGGTCATTACTGACACAATTACACCTTAACATTATCACCCAAAGCAAAACAATAATGAGAGAGTCAATAAAAAGAGAAAAAGGAAAACAGCCCCCCTAATGTTGTTACTGTGCACTTTTGTTTGTTAATACTTGATTCACGTATTATCCTGATAGTATTGGTTTCAGAGCGTCTTTGTTTGAGCAAGTGAGGAAATAAATTTAGTTAAGGATTGAGGAAAAAAAAAACCTACAAATGCACTTTTAAGTATTTTAAGTATTAATACCCATACATCCTAGAAATGAAATAACAAGCAACTATTCAGAACTGTCTCTGGACAATTTAATGTTTCCTTCAATTCTTCGTTCAGGAAAACAGTGAGGGATTGTGAAGGGAGTGAACTGTGGCATCCGGTAAATGGATGAAAAAAAGATGTAAACATTTTAAAGTAGGTGTGAATGGAGAAAAGCACGTGGAAGAAAAGATGTGATAGATTGAGTGTAGGTGGAGGAATGAAGTCTGAAGACAATAAATCATACAGAGAACAGAGCAGATGGTGGAAATAACAAATGGAGTGATTGAGAACAAGGAATTGTCCATCCATCCATCCATCCATCTTCAACCGCTTATCCGGGGCCGGGTCGCGGGGGCAAAAGTCTGAGCAGGGACACCCAGACTTCTGTCTCCCTCGACACTTCCTCCAGCTCTTCTGGGGGCACCCCAAGGCGTTCCCAGGCCAGCCGAGCGACATAGTCGCTCCAGCGTGTCCTAGGTCTTCCCCTAGGTCTCTTCCCAGAGGGACGGCACCCGAGCACCTCCCGAGGGAGGCGTCCGGGGGGCATG